AGGCCGGTCTCAAAACCCTTCTCTTCGACCTTTGGTCTCCCTCCCACCTCTCTGCCTTCCCTCATCCCTACACCACTCCTCCCCCATTCTTGACCCCCGACATCTGACTGCTCAGTGCTTTCGGATGTCCTCCCGACGTGAAAGGCGCTCTATAAATGTAATTTTGTTGTTGTTGTACGTTCTCACTTAATCTCTCTCTCTCCACCAATTGTCTAAAAGCAGCTGTTCCAGGAGAGGTGCTCTGTTTTTGTCATCAGCTACACACATTTTACAGAAACGCTGCCACAATACTGCAATTACAATTGGAAACAAATACCATTAGACTGATTTTTTTTTTAAAAAATCAATGATTCTGTCAACCAGTGTAGAAATGTCCATATAAAATTTATTCCCTTTGGTATACAAGTCTGAATACATTTATTTAAATGCGTATCAAAAGTCAGAAAAATACTTGCTTAAAAAAACAAAAACCTTTTCCATTTTCTTCTGAAAAAATTCTGGACTGTAATCGTAGAATGTCTGAATGGTGCCAACGGGATTTGATTCTAGTGAGGCCTCTTACCCAAAACATGCATGCTCATCTATCTTCTGTGAGGTTTAAAACAGTAATGTTCATTTTCATTAAACCATTGTGGAATTTGACATTGTAGTTTCAAATCCTGGGTTTTTCCTATTTTTTACGTACTTGAGATATCAAGATTTTTATATTTTCCCTGGTTAACATTTACTTTAATATTAATTTAAAGTTTTGCCAATTCTCTGGCATAGGGTGCTTATAGAAGTATTTCCACATGGGCTCATTTTTTAAAAAAAATATTTCATTGGGATCTGGCTCTAGTCAAATGCAGAGGTTGACTTGGTTCTGTGCCTTTGCCCATCTATAATCCTCTTGCTTTTGGCAACAAACATTAACATCTAACCACGTGAGGTCCAAACTTCTATCTATTGTTAACGTGTAATTGGATTAAAGATCCTCCTTAATCTAATAAATTGGTGAAATAGATTCAATGGCCTGAACAGTCTCTTCCTGTTCCCATATTTCTAACTCCACAATGCAATTCACACTTACTTTTGTGCTTTTCACTTCAAGAGGATTTCTCAAAGTGCTCGACAATGTCGGTTGGTCTACAAATTGGGGGTGGGAGCCGAGGTGGGTGTGGAGTGGAGAGATGACTAAAAACATGGTCAAAAAGGGATGTTTTGAGATGGGCCATGAATGAGAGAAGGAGCGAGGTGGAGAAATTCCTGGATGGAGAAATAGGGTCTATTTTGTGTGACTGTGGAAGAAGCGAACTTAATGGTTCAAATAGCCTTTTCTCATTCACTGCTGTAGTATGTTCTACTTACAGAAGCATAGAAATCATAGCACAGAAAGAGGCCATTTGCCCCAATCAGCCTATGCCAGTCACATCTGTAGCGACATCATGAGAATGAAAATGACCCCTGGTGATAGGAAAACAATGTTGATTATTTAGTTCAGTTCAATGTTTGGTCATTTCATAGTTCAAATAATCAGTGTAAAGTAAGTAATAATAATCCTTGCATTTGATATAGTACCTTACCATATCATTCAGAAGCTTCAAAGGGGTTGTATTGTAAAGTATATTTGTAGGCGAAGTGTCTCTAGTTCAGTGTACTAAATGTCCTTATCGAATGGTATCATTTATATCAATTAGTTGATAGATTGTCGTGAAAAAGTTGAGATAAGGGAGTTGTAAGGTCATACTCGAAAAGTGTTTTTCTTTACTTTATGGAGGTAAAGTACTTTAAGAAACACCCACCTTATGTCAATCTTGTTGACAATCATCTAGCCTAAAGAAAAATGTATTGAAGTTTCACTTTGTCACCAGAGTTAAGCGACATTAAGCTCAGGTTGTAAACTTTGACTTCACATTAGCTACCAGCAGGTTACTGTCCACTGAACTGTTTTGCTAATAGGAGGTGGCATTTCAGATTTAGAGGAATTGGAGCCTTAACCAAAGTTGTTTTATTTCATGAAACAGCGGAGAGAATTTGAGCATTTATCGAATTTTGAACTATAAATTTAAAGAACTTGTATTGAGTGTAATTATCCTTTTTTAAAGTTCAAAGATTTTATTACTAATATTCTGACAAGCATTTTATGTTGTGAAGTATTTTATACTCAAAATTGTAGATAATTCGATGGCAAAGACTGATGATGTTGTACCAGTTATAACGGTCAAGTTTATCCACTTGGGACAGGAGGATCAATAGGGAAAGACTGGAGTGTGTGTCAGTCTGGCCCAGTGGTAGCTCTCTCATCTCTGAGTCAGAAGATTGTAAGTTCAAATCCCATGTCAGGACTTGAACTCACAGTCTAGCTGATGCTCCAATGCAGTGCTGGGGTGTGGTGGATTGTTGGAGGTGCTGTCCTCTGGATGAGACATTAAACCGAGGTTCCGTCTGTCTTGATGTTAAATGCACAAACTGAAAAGAGGAGTTTCTCCCGGTGCCCTGGCCAACAATCCCCCAAATAGAACCGGTCACTCACATCATGGCTGTTTGTGTGCACAAATGCTGTTCTGAGTTTTCCTGTAAATACAGCCACTCCACTTATAGTGTATCCTGTGAAGTGTTTTGGGACATCCTCCAGATGTGAAAGGCGTCCAAACGTTAGGATTATAACTTAAGAATCTCAGAAATATTATACTAACAAATATAAACAGAGTTACAAGCAGAAGCAAGAGATGAGCAAATTTAAGGAAGTACCAAGAAAAAACTACTATCACGCTGGAATAACACTAGACGCAAGAATGTAACTGCAATAAAACAGTGACATCAACAGTGGGCAACATGAGCCTCAGTGGTCATATCTGGTTAGTTACCAAACCTTTGAAGAGTATTCATTGTTCAAGGAATGTCAGTTTGGCAGTAGCTATAATGATGGAACTGATTTAAGACACTGTTGGTAAATATTAACCCAGAGACTTGTCTCAAAGAGTCCTTCTCATGGGGGGAGGGGAGGTGTGGTGTGGTGATAGGGGAGGAGTCTCATTTTGCATGACCAGTTATTATTTAAATAGAAAGTTATATTTACATAAAGATTTGCGTTTGAAAATATATTTGTTAAGGTTTAAATGGTTGTTGGGCAAACTGCACGCTTGCATAAATGCACCATAACAAATCTTGAGTATTCTAATAATCATCTAATCCAGATGGGTAATCTTTCCAGTTTATGTAATGACATGATTATGCATTTCTTGCATGGATATAGGGTGTTACAAAGAAATATCTTTGGAGAAGTGAAGCTAAAGAGTAATATAAATTTTTTTTTATTAGTTAGAGACTCTACCAAACCATTTAAACATAACAACCCTGGTTATATTCCCAATTCCTTCCACTCTCTCCATATCATTTTATAATGTTCCTCTTCAAATGTTCATATTGATGTCCTTTCAAATGTTTGTATTATCTCAGCTACTTGTGGCAAAGCAGCCCATGTCCTAACAACCCTCTGTGTGAAAATGTTTCTTTCAACCTCCCTATTAATTCTTCCTGAACTTACGTACCTAGTGACCAATTTACCAACCAGTGGGAAAAAATGCTCACTATCTAACCTCTCAAAGGTCTTACCATACATTCCCACAAAACCAAATCACTATCTCAAGGCTTTCGGAAAACTATCAAAACACATTGTAGATATGACTGTGTACAGGAGTGTATAACAGATGATGGTAAATTTGCCCTGTTCCAATTTCTACGTTTACTTTGTTATAAGTATATTTCCTGAGAATTCCTGTTATAGGTTGGACCATGTGCACAGTTATTACTGACTGTTTTTTTTAAAAAATCCATGAAGGCCAGAACCTAATGGGTAGGATGGTCCTAATAATAATAAAAATCCTTGCACTTAAAATAGCACCTTATCATGTCATTGAGACATCTCAAAGTGATTCATAGAATATATTGTAATGTGGAAAAGAAAGATGGCAGGATTTTAATCATCTTTACAATTACAAGGAGACCTCAAAACATTTTTTAGATTTGCTTCAACTGCTTTTTCCTAATTTAAAAACCATCGTAAACATTTGAGAGTACAGCTGAGGTTTTTGTAAAAAAAAATTAAGTGGTTACAGTTTATTTGTAAAAGGTAAAGACCAAGACCCTCTCCATAGTAAACTTTTTGTTTAAATGCTAACAATAGAAGGTAGTTAAAAAAGTTATTATTTTTATGATTTATTGCACTTAATATACAAGAATATGATGGCTTCCTTGGCGAATCTTTAGCCATTCACTGTATATTCCCATAGATAAGACTGTTGGTGCCTCTATCACTATTTATACGAAAATGTCATGTATGATATTCTGTAAGTGCTGTAGCTCAAATTCCAGTCACTGCACTTGCCTTCAATGAAGTATTTTTTTAAAAAAAATAACATTTACATTTCTAAAATCTAAACTCAGGCACAACTGAATTGATGCAAAAAAAATCAACAGTATTTAAACTTCCAAAATAAAAATATACCATACAGGAGAAGTAGTTACTCAGGCATCTTATATAAGACTGCAACACACAAAAGACTTCACACAAAATTGACATGACCTGAATCCCTGGGCTTATTAAAGCTCCACAAGATGCTGCTATGCAATTTTTTTAATTTTATATAATATATACAAGACTGCAAGACATCAGAGCAGTGTGAGGTGAGCAGGAGGTGATTCCTGGGAGAAAGCGAAGCGAGGGTTGGTGGAAGCACAGTATGTGTGAGACCTGGTGATTTCAACAACAACAAATTACATTTGTATAGTACAGAGATTTCTCTTGCCATTTACCAGTGAGGAAAGTAGCCCCTCTTTGGTTTGTTCATGGGATACGGCCCTGGTTTCCTAGCTTCAGGCCAGCTTCCGCTGAATAAGTTAAGATAGGACGTTTTATGCACCCAACATTGATTTCTGCTAAGCAGCAACCAAAGATGGTGGGACTCAGAACTTTGCAGCCAGGATTGGACATTACAATTGTTCAGAGTTTGGGGGAGGGGTGTTTCGAAATATATTTTAACTTCCTTCCTTAAATAAGGAATCAACATTTTTAAGAATACCATAGTTTTGTTAGCATGATGTGACTGGGATAGGGTTTCACACACTTACTTTCAGATAGATGTGAACCTATACAATGAGTCTTGTACATATTATATTTACTCACATTGTGTGTGCCAGGTCAATAAATGTGCTATAACATAGCGCACACTGTATTGTCAGTTCTTTTCATATCTCAGCAAATGTGAGCTTGTAATTTCCTGCGGCATCTTCAATGTTGAGCTGGAATGTGTCTTCATTAGAATAGTGCTTCACAATATTGTCATCCATGTTCACCAGGATACTAGGGACAACAACAGGAAGGGAAAAAAAATACACATCAGCAAAAGGTTCTGAGGGAAAAGTTCTCCTTGTGAGGAATTTTAATCCTCTGTGCACCAAGGACGAGTGGGATACATCCGAATGTAATAAAGCCATCAAGGTTTCCAACAAGAAATCACAATCTTGCTATTCAATAATAATAATTGTTGCATTTGATATAATGCATTATCACGTCATTGAATTGTCTCAGGTTATACAGTAAAGTGAATTGACTGTATATTTTCTGGGTGAAAGGTGACAGCCAATTGCGCACAGCAGAGTCCCACATTCAAGTAGTTTAACAGCAAACCTAACTGCTTTTGGAACAGGTCTTCACCAAAAAAANGGCCAATTTTCTTATTAACTCCCACCTGGAAAATGGGCACGCAAGCAGGAAATGCAGAATAATGCAAGGAATCAAAATTATATCAGGAGGAATCTATATACTATTTTAGCCCAAATTGACATGAAAGATGCCCTGGAGCTAACGATCTTAAGCTTTGACAAAATGGAATATGTAAAATACATTGTGTTAGGGAAAAGTCAAAATCATTCAGAATTTAGCAATTTGTTGAATTCAGTTTCAATGTTGAAGGCGTTTTCCTGGTGTTCTTAAACACAAACTTTCTGAAAAACACCTTCAAAACTGAAGACTGCATTTAAGAACTTGCCAAATTCTGAATGCACTGAAATGATAAGCAAATGGGGTAAAACTAGACTAGACAAGGTGGAATTTCTACCCTGACATTCGTTTCCCATGGAAAGAAAGCAATTTTATGTTCAAGACACCAATTTACCTTGCTTATAAGGGGTGGGAGTAAAAAGTGACCTAAAAATTGAAATGTCACTAAAATTTACAACATTTCTTTACCCCATAAAAATGATGCTGTTTATGTTCAATACTTTACACTTTTCTGGAATCTAAAAACTCACAATTGGCCAACAAATCCAGTTTGCAAATATTGCACGATATAGATCTTGATATCAATACAGTCTGAAGTTAGAAATGAATTAAATAAACTCTAAAACAAAGGACAAGAGAGACAGATGTAACAACCAGAGAAATTATAAACTGAAGGATAAAGACAAAAATAACATTGAACAAAAAGGTTCATAGAAGGATAAATGGATCATAAAAGTATCAAAGAAAGTTGAAATAGGTGTAGAAAAAAGTAAATGCAAAAGGGAATATATTCATGAATTTATTGAACAACTTTCCACAATCAAACCTGTAGCAAAGACATTTACTCACCCTTTCTTGCATTTCTTGTAGACTTTTACAATTTTGCCAAGCGGTACTTCATATTTTTCTGAAATCTAGAAAGATAATAAACACATAGGCAAACAAAGAAACTTACTTTATGTAAATTATCCACCCCTTGTCTCAGGAGTTTTAAAATTTCATGATTTTTACCCACGAGTATTTTAAATGCTGAGGTGTAGGATGAACCCTTTATTAATACAAAAACACACTGATATCTGATGAGGCGTTAACAGGTCTGTATTTGTTCAGGTGGACATTATAGATCCTGTGGAAATATTCCAAAAGCAAAGGCAGTTTCTCCTGGTGTCCTGGTCAACAAACCTCCAAACAAAATTAGCCAGTCACTTCATGGTTGTTTGTTGGACATTGTTATATGTAAATTGCTTCGCTTAGAAATACATATAGCCTCCACTTTACAGAAAAAGCTCTTTGCACTTTGAGATATTTCAATGTATTAAGGTATTATTCACGACCTTGCTCCCTCCTACCTCTCCGACCTACTATCCCCTACCTACCTGCCCGTACCCTCCGTTCCTCTGGCTCCAGTCTGCTCCACATCCCCCGCCCCAACATCGGTGGCCGGGCCTTCAGCCTCTCAGCCCCAAGGCTCTGGAACTCTATCCCTCAGTGCCTTCGCCGCCTCCTCCCTTTCCTCCTTCAAAGCCGGTCCCAAGACTCTTCTCCTTGATCGTGCCTTCAGCTCCCCTCTCTACCCCCTCCTCGCTCCCTCCCTTCCCTCCCCTCACCCTGACCATTTCCCCCTGCTCGGGTCCTGACCCAACTGTACAGCGCCTTGGGATGTCCTCCCAACGTGAAAGGCACTCTATAAATGGAATCTTGTTGTTGTTGTTGTTGTATATCAAATACAAGCAATATTATTTCCAACAATATACCAAACGTCTATACAAGGTCATGTTCATAAGCTACCTGCAGAGTTCATCAAAGTCCAATACAATAACCTAGTCAGCCAAAAAGTGACTTCTAATCTAGTTTGGGACCTTAAAAAACCCTACAATTATAAATTAGTCACTTCAATCCACAACTGTTTGTGGGACACTGATGTGCACAATTTGGCTGCCGTATTTTGTCCACAAATATACGGTCAATTCACTTTACAGTATATTCTGTGAAGCGCTTTGAAACGTCTAGAAGACGTGAAAAGCTCTATATCAAATGCAAGGATTATTATTATTTTCAAATGCACTCGTGGAAAACAGAACATAGTTTGGGCAAGTGAATGTACAGACTTCATAGCATCATTTTGTTTCTTACAATCAATTATCTTTTTAATCTCGCACAGCAATTAAAGTCAAGTGAGGTATGGAACAGATGTTTTTTTTGAAAAAAAGACGTAACCATGAAAACAAGATAAAAAGGATTAACTGTGGTAAGGGCTTCCTGTTGTGTGGCTGGGAGCCTGGGCGACGTTGGTTCTGGGTACTCTCCTTTAACAGATGGCAGACCTGCACCTGCAACTCCGCTCAACCCCTCCCGCTGGCAACGGTCTTGCCCCCCAAGTAAACTCTGCTCCCATGTAAACCTTCGCACCAGCATAATTATTTTTTGCAGGTCAGAAATGCTGAGTGTACATTTGCAGATTGGCTTGCTTTGCTGTTGGTCAAAACACACTGAAATGTCTGAGCTTCCATCAAAAAGCAAGAAAGTCATTAAAACATACAAAAGCATAGAAAAATAAATGGGAGAATAGCTTTCAGCCTGTTAACCATGATCAACCATTTCAGGTGATATTGTGCATAAAATAACAATAATAATTCTTGCATTTGAGGCAGCACCTTTCACACCAAGCGCTTCACAGAAATTACTGTGCAGTGCAGTGACTGTATATTTTTTATAATCAAATAAAAAATACAAAAAATACAAAATATTGCTTATGTGGCCCGTGGCCCTTTCTCAAATAGGAAAGCTGGCCTGTGGCAGCCAAAATGTTGGGTCACCCTGACTTAGACTATGAGCTCAAATATCTTCAGAGATAATGAATCGTAAAGTTTTGTACTCTGAAGTGATAAAATCAGTGGGGTGAGGGTCCATTGTGGAGTGCAGTTATACATAAGATAGTCATAAATGTAGGCCGTAGCCGACATTTAATCTGACCTATTTATCCCGTATGTATTCCCTACTTCTCCAGTACTCAGCTATGGAACAAAGAAAAATCCCATTCTTTACTGATTACTGTATGATATGTGATTTCAAATCTCCCTCCTCCTTCCCTCCCTCTCCCTTCTCCTTCCCTTCCTTTTCCCTCCCCCACTTTCTCCCTCCCATGATCACAGTGCTCCCTGTCCACTTCAAGTAAGCACAACAAGTGTTGCGACATCAACAAGTGAAACTGAGAGCGGCTCGGAATCTCCTCAGGGAAAGTGAAAGGAAATTAGTAACTTTAACTCTTGTACTTCCTGCGTACCCAGGACAACTCCATTATAAGACACCTCGTTAGAGTGTGTGAGTTCACTTATAACATGCGTCACCTGTGGAACAACCACAACTAAACATTTATATAGCGCCCTTCACACCGCACGGTATCTGGAACTGCAGTTACGGGCGGTGCAGTTAAAGGACTGGCTAACTTCAACAACAACAACAACAACAAAATTACATTTGTATAGCACCTTTCACGTCGGGAGGACGTCCCAAGTCGCTGGACAGACAGAGTTACGGACCCGAGCTGGCCTGAGGGACTGGCATGCACAGTAATCTGGCCAGCCTGCACAGGAAGCTGGAAGTGACGTTAATAGCGTCAATTGTGATCTAACAACCCAGAAGTGAGACCAACGGCCATTATAACTCCCAGACCTGATATAACACATCATTTTATGGTCTGGATCCACTAGGCTACTTTACAATCTAGGGAAAAAAGGGAAAGGAACTAAATATCAGAAGAATGTGGTTCACTGAATGTCGAAGTTCTTAAAAATAGAATTTTCCTTTACTTACAGCCTCCATCAGGCCTTTCAGAGAAGGTGTTTTCAGTAGAACTGCATCAAACACCTCTTCGCATTCCTTCCTGACGTACAGCAAAACTGAAAAGACACGGCAAGAATTAGAATCTAAAGTTATAATATAGCAACCATTACATTTGATACAGACCCTATCTCAAAGTGTTTCACAGGGTTTACTGTGAAGTGTCTTGTATTTTGCCAGTGAACCCGCAGCCAATTTGCACACGGCAATGTCCCACAAATAGTCTTATTAAATAAATGACCAATTTTACCTGGAGGATTGTTGGCCAGGTCACTGGGAGAAAATTCCTTCTCTTTTCAATTAGTTCCGTGGGATGTTTAATATCCACCTGAACAGGGATGTGGATCTGTTATTTTATAAACGTCTCTTCTCTAGTTAAAAAAAAAGCCCTAATCTATCCAGTTTATCCATATAGTAGTAACCTACAACTCCTGATATCTTTCCATCGCTTCTATATCCTTCTAGTAGGTGGCAACCAGAATGGATCAAAGTACTCCAAATGTGGTCTAACCAAAGCTTTCTATAATTCATGTAATTTCACGTGATTCATGTACAAAGTGCTGAGTGTGTGTTACTTGTTATCTTGATTCCTCATTTCAGTCACAACGTCCCGAAGCTATGATTCCTCATCGATATGAATAAGCAGAAGCAGATGCATGTGCAGCTGCATCTCTCAGTGCTATCTGTGGTCTAGACCTAGAGGATGTAGCATTACAAACAGGAACAGTGGAGGAGCTCCAGGACAGAGATTAAGAGGAACTTTTCCACACACAGAGTGTGTGGGAGGGTGGAATTCTCTCCCACAGTCAATTGTTGAGACGGCAACCATATGCACATTCAACAACAACAACATGCACATATATAGCGCCCTCCACACCAGGCTGTGTTCCAGGGCGCTTAACAATGGTGGAGCCAGGGGGATGGGAAAGGTGACTGTAGGCGCAGTCGAAGAGGAAGGTCTTCAGATGCAACTTGAAAATCGGAAAAGAAGGGGCGAGGTGAAGGGATTGAGGGAGAGAGTTCCATAGCTTCGGGACATTGTGGCTGAAGGCATGGCTGCCGATGGTGGAGTGGAGGATTCGAGGGACAAGAAGGCTGGACCCAGTAGAGCAGAGGCAGTGGGTACTGCTGTGAGGAGAGAGGAGCTTGGAGAGATAGGGGAGTGCCAAGGAGTGAACGGATTTAAACACTACAGTGAGGATCTTGGAGTTGAGTGAAGCCAGTGGAGTTTGGCAAGGACTGGAGTAATCGGGGTGCGGAGTTTAGTACAGGTGAGAATGTGGACGGCGGAGTTTTGGATGAGTTGAATTTTATGAATAGTGGAGGAGGGGAGACCAACAAGGAGGGCATTAGGATAGTCCAGCTGAGAGGTGACAAAGGCATGGACAAGGGTTTCGGCAGCTTGTGGAGTGAGGTATTGTCGGAGACGGGCAGTGTAGCGGAGGTGGAGGAAAGTGGTCCTGGTCAGGGACTGGATGTGGGGGAGGAAGGATAACTGGGGATCGAACCTGATGCCTAAGTTGCGCACAGGTTCAGAGAGTTTTAAGGATAGATCAACTAGGTTGGGGAGGTCATGGGACATGGGACAGAAGACATTGATGGGAGCCAAAGAGTATGGCTTCCGTCTTGCTGATGTTTAACTGGAAGAAATTTGCGCTCATCCAGGCCTTGGTGTCTGTCAGACAAGCTTACAGAACATCAGAGGACTGGGGGTCGCAGCTGGAGGAGGAGAAGTAGAATTGAGTGTCATCCACGTACACGTGGAAGTTAATCCCGTGTCTGTGGATGACATCACTGAGAGGGAGCATATAGATGAGGAAAAGAAGGGGGACAAGGATGGAGCCTTGGGGTACCCCACAAGTGACCGGGTGGAAGCGAGAAGAAAAAACATTTGCAGAAATGTAATGCTGGCGGTTTGTAAGTTAGGACTTGAACCAAGTGAGCGCGGTCCCTGAGGTGGATGGTGGAGGAGATGCAGTGGAGGAGGATGGCGTAGTTGACTGTGTCGATTGTGGCAGAGAGGTCCAGGAGTACGAGGAGTCAGAGGGAGCCTGGTCACACATAGAGAGGACATCAAACAAACAAACATTCAAACAAAAACTAGGGATAGGATGCAGGATAGACATCAGCCAGACGGGATGAGCCAAATGACTTCAATCTATACAACCTCTGACTTAATATCCAAGCTGCAGAAAACTGGCTATAAAATGAAGGCTAAAAACATGTGAAATTTCAGGCTTCAGTATTAGGCAATAGTAACATTTAAACAGGCTTTCAAAGGACAAAAAAGACTACTGAGTCCAACAAGCCCGTTCCTTTGAAATTGTTCTCAACTGCAGCTACCTGACCTATCCCCAAATCACATTCCCTTTCCAAAGACATCTCCTGCAATTGCCTCTTGAACGCCTTTATACAGTAATTTATTTAACCTGGTATCATGCCAAATAGTCCAACAGATTTAAATACATTGCACTTGATATAGCACCGTATCAAATTGAAGCATTTCAAATGCTTCACCCAGCGAGTTACTTCGTATATTGACTGTGTAAAGAAAGGTTGAAAGGAAGAATTAAAGTTAAAGACTATAAGAAAGAATTAAAATAAAGAAACATTATGCCGATCATGAGATGAATGAGAGTTTACCAGGAGATATCCCAACTGCTGCAGTAAAGGAGTGGGTCCTGCTCAGAATGTTAGTCTTTTGCTTCATCAACATAAACACTGAGCTATGGGGAAATTTAGTCAGGAAGTTGGACTGTTGTATTGATTGATATAAACTTGGCTACCTAGGTAACTAGGGATAATAATAATAATAATTCTTGCATTTGATATAGCGCCTTATCACATCTTCGAGATGTCTCAAAACGCTTCACAGAATATACTGTAAAGTGAATTGTATATTTTGTGGGTGAAACGCAGCAGCCAATTGTGCATAGCAGTATCCCACAAACAGTCGTGGATTGAGTGAACAATTTATTATTTTTTTTGAAGGAATGTTTACGCCCGGAAAAGCGATCCACCAATCGACTAACAACCAGATTCCTACATAGTGCTAGGTAAACAGAGGCGTGTGGAATAAGGAAACTTGTCCAACGTTTCGTTCTGCCGGGAATCGAACCCACGTCGCTCGCTTGCTCTAACCACTGAGCTACAGGAGTCCACTGTAAAATACTACAAGATTACCAGGATTTTATGACTCCATGGTGTGAAAATGAGAGGATTAAGTGATGAGTTGAACTCTTTACACTTGGTACATCGGAACATGACAGTTCCCCCAAATTCCTGTGAGGTTGTGGAGTTTCCTTAATCCACACGCCTAATAATAATAATCCCTCCAAAAAAACAAAAAACAAAATAATAAATTGGTCACTTTCAATCCATGACTGTTTGTGAGACACTGCTGTGTGCAATTGGCTGCCACATTTCACCCACAAATATACAGACAATTCACTTTACAGCATATTCTGTGAAGCGCTTTGAGACGTCTAGAAGACGTGAAAAGCGCTATATCAAATGCAAGGATTATTATTATTATGATAACCTTGGGGTGTCTCCTGTGTGTTGAAAGGTGAATGAATGAACCAGTTCGGGAATATGATTGGATAATCGAACTGTGAACTCTAATTGGGTAAACTAACTTTTGACTCCACCGTTTTGATACTGTCATCGTGTGATCAAACTTTGGTTATGAATGTTTATTGTCAGTCAAACTTCAGTGTGAGACATACCCGGTGTAATATTGGCCAAAGGCAATGCCAACCTCCTTCCAGAGTAGGTGAAACGATCATTTACCAATTATTCTCTGAGTTAACCTGCACTATATTAGTTATCTTAATATAGATTTGCCATAACTGCACTTGACTATTCTTAGATTGAGATTGTTACCGTTGTATTGTGGATTCATGAACTAACTAACTAACTAACTGACTGACTGACTGACTGACTGATCGATCATTGTTTCACAAGTAACCCTACAACTGTTGTGTGGAAAAGCATGGCAGATAATTTGTCCCAGTGATGCACCATAAACAATAATTAGATTAACAACCTTTGGGGAGTTTTGGAAGAGAATGGATATTGTCAAGGACAGAAGGAGAACTCCATGCTCTTCAAAATAGTGTGACAATATCATTAAAGTTGATACGGCAGACATACTTCACTAGTTATTTTTGCCTACAAAACGCATAATCACATTACGGTAAATCCTGCAAAGTACTTCGAAACGTTCTTCCGAAGTGAAATGCGCAATATCAAATACAAACAGTATTGCTATTTATTATTAATAACGCTTCACATTCAATCAATAGGAGACACAATTAAGCAGGAGCCAACTGGGAAGAATCCCTGACCCCAGTGACCTGTCTGCCCCTCCAAGTCCTGCTGTTCAGCTCGGCTGGTTGGTCTGTCAACAGCATTGCCCTGGAATACTGTGGACTGCCTGGCTCAGGAACTGGACAGAGCTGGCTTGATTCTGACAGTCCATTACCAAACATGTCACCTTGGAGCCAGATCAACTCCAAGAAGACTCCACCTAGACGCCCCCACTCCCTCACGCCTGCGTCCCCTTCCCCACCACCTCCACACAAGGATAGTCCTGATGCTCAAGTGCTTCATTGTACCCGATCAAGAGTGCAAAGCTATGGAGCCCAACCGTTTCACGCCAAATCATGGGGAATGGTGGTTCACGGTTCAGTTGAAACTAATCAATAAATTAACTCAAGTTCCAATATTTCTTAAGAGAACCAATGCGATAAATTGTTAAGCAAATCTTATCACCACAAAGCATGTCTTGCGGAACTTTCTGGTTTACTGTAGCCAAAACAATAGCTGTTTCCCCAGCTTTATATTAAGTTCAGTGCTGACATCAGCAATACATTAGGGCAACAACATGGGGAGGGATGTGGTTACAATAATAACAACATGATTGCTCAGCAACATCTGCTCAGCAGTATCCACCCTCTTTCATTTCCAGTAATTGTACAGAGATTAGATCAACCACGGTCAGTTTCACTTCCCAAAAAGTTATTAAATCACGAGAGTTAATGTAACTCCTCAGTCAATGAAACCTCAGGTGGAAAAAGTCAATTCACTTTACAACAACAACTTGCATTTATACAGCACCCCTCACACAGGGTAGGGTCCCAGAGTGCTTAAGTTCAGTGCTGATATTAGCAACACTTTACAATATATTCTGTGAAGCACTTTGAGACGTTTCAAAAACATGATAAGGCGCTACATCAAATGCAAGGATTACTGTTATTAATAATAATAATTCTTGCATTTAATAAAGCGCTTTTCGTGCCTTCTTAGACGTCTCAAAACTCTTCACAGCATATGCTGTAAAGTGAATTGACTGTATATTTGTGGGCGAAACATAGCAGCCAATTGCGCACAGCAGTGTCCCACAAACAGACGTGGATTGAAAATGACCAATTTATTACTGTTTTTGTTTTTGGAGGGATTATTATTAGGCGTGTGGAGTAAGGAAACTTGCCCAAGGTTTCGCCCTGCCTGGAATTGAACCCAGGTGTCTCGCTTGCAAGGCAAGTGCTCTAACCACTGAGCTACAGGACTCCACAAGGATTACTATTATTATTCAAGAAAGATTTACCTTTTTTGGGTTCGTCTGTCCTCAAGGTCTTGTTAGGGGAAGTGAACTCTTGCTCAGGCAGGTAAGGCAGCCTCTTAATCCCTGATCTGGAAGATGAAATACAACGTCCTATTACTAGAAGTGCTCCGAGACTCGATCCCATGTGAAAGCATGTTGTTGTTATTGTTGTCGAAGTCCAGTCAGATGCCATTTGGGATTTTTAAAAGACTGTTTTGGCCTCTAACATTCTTGCTGCTTGGTTAAAATTTAGATTTTCTTGAAGTTTTCAAACGACGGCTCAAAATAAAAACTGGAACCAAATCAGGAATAGGGTGCATCGTGGTTGTTATCAAGTAGCCATCATTTAAAGAATCGTGGCTGTGTACCCCACGTAGTGTCGCAAACAGAAGTTGAATTTTTGTGGCAATTTTGTCACCAATTCACCACAGCAGGACTACACCAGTGGTCTATGAATGTTCCACCACAGCATGACATTGCCACTACAGTGTGAATGCACCATCCCAGCATAACTGGACACAACAACTGCACACAACACTGTCTCACAACAGTCGTAGATTGAGTGACCAAATTATTTATTTTGTGGTAAAAAATATTATTTTTACTTACTGCTAGGAAAACAGGTGTGTGAAGTAAGGAAACTTGCCTAATATCTCGGCCTGCCCAGGAATCGAACCCAGGTCGTCTCATTTGCGAGGCAAGTGTGCTAACTAATACGTTACATGAAAGTAAGTGGTGCAAATCGATTCAGCCTCTGATCAGAAATTGTTGCATTCCCACTTAAGTATTCTGAAGGGATCAACTTTAATGTTTGCATTAAATAAATTCTTAAGGATGGGCTGAATGTAGGCGTGGACCTTTAAATTAATTCAAGACCCTACTTACCTTTCACCTTCCAGCTCCTCTCCTGAAGCAGACAATCCCTGTAACAGCACAGAGAAGACATCAATGGTTAGTCTGACTTCAATACAATATTGAACTGCTGCAAAACTTCTATTCTTGCAGAATTTCTGTAACTAAACCACCGCCCATTTCACACATTCTGAATTAACTACCTGTGGCTTTGAATAAATCACAATAAATCAGAAATCACAAGTTAGTTATTTCTTGCAATAAAATCTAAATATGACAGGCAGGCACAACCCCGGTTTAACATCTCATCCAAATGACAACACCGCTGACAACACAGCATATCCCCAACACCACATGGAGTGTCAAACTAGACTTGTGGAGTCCTGTAGCTCAGTGGTTAGAGCACTTGCTTTGCAAGCAAGAGACCTGGGTTCGATTCCCAGCAGGATGAAACCTTGGGCAAGTTTCCTTACTCCACACGCCTGATAATAATCCCTCAAGAAAATAAACCAATAATAAATTGGTCACTTCAAACCACGATTGTTTGTGGGACACTGCTGTGCACAATTGGCTGCCGCATTTCGCCCACAAATATACAGTCAATTCACTTTACAGTCTATTCTGTGAAGCGCTTTGAGACGTCTAGAAGACGTCTGTATCAAATGCAAGGATTATTATTCCCTACCAACCTGCCCGCTCCCTCTGTTCAGCGTGCTCCGGCCTGTTCCATGTCTCCCGCCCGACCTGTCCTACCATCGGTGGCCGGGCTTTCAGCCTCTCTGCCCCCACACTCTGAAACTCCATCCCACGGTCCCTTCACCTCGCTTCCTCCCTCGCCCCCTTCAAGGCCGGTCTCAAGACCCTTCTCTTCGATCGTGCCTTTGGTCTCCCTCCCACCTCTCCGCCTTCCTTCACCCCTACACCACCCCTCCCCCATGCTCAGGCCCCAACACCTGACTGTTCAGCGCTTTGGGACGTCCTTCCGATGTGAAAGACGCTCTATAAATGTAATTTTGTTGTTGTTGTTGATGAGGTCAAAGTCTCGGCGTGAGGCTTGAACCCACAATCTATTACACACAATCAAGAGTGCTGCTAACTGAGCCAGACTGATGTGTATAAATAAAATAACTATTTATACTAAAAGTGAAGAAGAAGCATTTGAAACTATTCACATTTACCAAAAAAAAAGCACAGATTTCTGTGCATTGTTCCATTTTTGCATAATACAGCAAGACTTGCATAAGTCTTATCTTCATAACTCATATAAACGCCTAAGTCATACATTCACCCGAGTCCCATTCAGTTTCCTATCAAAACCACTTAGATTTCTTTACACTACTTGTATTACTCTTTTCGTAACTCGTTCCCAACTGATACGATTTATGTGCATTTTACTGTATTACGAGAATGATATACTTAGGTCATTGTTGCAATGAAGGATGTTTGATCGATATCAAACCTAGAGTGAGACGTACATGAGGAACTCGCTGTTGGATGTCAGGAATGAAGAGAACCGGCTGAGTGACCAGATCAGAAACAGACTTGAATATTGTGACTTCACCTTGCTTTTGGCTGAGGAGCAGTGGTATCTTTACCTGTTGGACTGTGAAGAAAAATCACAAGATTATAAACCTCCATACTGTGATGATCTGAGAATAAGAACATTGTGCTATTTGAAAATCTGAACATTTACATATTTAAGGTTCAGTTGCATTTTTTAATGTAATTCGAAACAAAATAAATGAATTAAATAGTAATGTGTTTAAATCTTTGGGCAATTAAGGAGATTTGATTGCTTTTGCAACAACCTAATACTACGTGATCAAATCCTAAGTGCTACTAAGGTTGTCTATTGTAATAACGTTGTGACTGTACGACTAGTTCATAGAGCAGCAGTGCCCTCGGCCTTTGGGTGCGTGCCATTACACCTCTGTAACACAGTACATTAATGCAGTGCAAAGTATTGCCACTGCATCCCTGAAGCATAACTGCTACATATATTGCAAAGCTCATCAGCTTTCAAGACTAAAGACACAAACTCTTGTTGATTTAGGGGTTTTAGCAAAATTCTCAACCATTCTTTTGTTACCTCCCACCTCGACTATTCCAATGCCCACCTCGCTGGTCTCTCCAGCTCCACTATCCACAAAATTCAATTAATGCAAAACTTGACCGCCCATATACTCACCTGCACTAAACTTCATACCCCCATCACACCAGTTCTCGCCAGGCTCCATTGGCTCCCTATCACTGAACAGATTGACTTGAAGATCCTCACACTCATCCACCAATCCCTTCATGCCCTCGCACCTCCATATCTTTCCGACCCGCTTCCTCCCCACTTATCTACCCGCTGTCTCTGCTCGGCTGGCTTCAGCCTCCTGCTTGTTATTCATCTCCTCTCCACCATCGGAGGCCGTGCTTTCAGCCACTACTACTCCCTGAAACTTTGGAACTCTCTCCCTCAATTCCTTTGCCTTGTTCCTTCATTTTTAGATTGCACCTGAAGACCTTCCTCTTCCATCAGGCTTACAGTCACCTCCCCCCAGCTCGGAGTCAGCTCCGCCACTGTTAAGCACTCTGAGACACTACCCTGCATGAAGGCCATTATATAAATGCAAGTTGTTGTAATTTAACTCCTCACAGATGGAGGAATGCAACAACCAAAAGGACAATATCTGTGCACCTGCTGATTGGATTTACAGTATCCCGACACTTCTGGAGATAGTAACAGGACCATAAAAGGATTTATAATCTCCAACTTCTTGCCTGCTGAGCTGTCTGAGTCTGCGCATTGCGGGAACCCTCTCAATCACCAAGCCATACAGTTCTTGCTGTTGTCAGCAAGAAGATGCTTCTCTGGGTGATGGTGGAACACTTCACACTCCCCAACAAACACATGGAAGGAGCATTTGTGAGAAATCAGAACAAATGATGCACAGTCTGCATCTTGAATTGTGGAAATAAAAGGCAAATCTGCAGCAAATTTTCACAGTGTGAGCACCTACAGGGAAACCCCGAGAAATCATACCCAAAACAGCAAGAAGAGATGCCAATCCAGTCAAATGTCAATCCATCACTTGGGATTTTTAAAAGGTTCATTTTTTCCTTCACAACAACAACAATAATAATATTATTATTATTATAACATGTGTTTATATTCTGCCCTTCACAAGAGGTAGTGCCTTGGAGCTCTTAACAGTGGCGGAGCCTTATAGTGAGCCGGGAAGAGGAGGGAGGTAATCATAGTTGAAGAGTTATGATCTGAAGACAGGCAAAAAGGGAGCAAGACAGAGGGATTCAGGCAGAGGGTTCCAGAGTCTTAGGGTGTAGTGGCTGAAAACATGGCCACCGATGGTAGAACGGAGGGGACGAGGCCGCGCAGGAGGCCAGCGCCAGTTGAGCGAAGGCGGTGGGTAGTGGAGTGGGGTATAAGCAGGTCGGAGAGATAGGAAGGTACCAGGGCATGAAATGATTTGAAAGCAAATGTGTAATCGATCCATTGTGTGATAGGGAACCAGTGGAGTCTGGCAAGGACTGGGAGTACGGAGGTTACTGTTTCATCAGTGAGAAGCCCCACAATGAATGCTCTCGCCCTCCACCCCAGGTGATGTATGGCTAGTTTCCTGCTCTATTCCTCCCCCACACAATTTCACACCCCACATAAACACAGTCCGTGTGTGGGTCTAAAGTATTATAATAATAATCCTTGCATTTGATATAGCGCCTTATCACACCTTCGAGATGTCTCAAAGTGCTTCACCGAATATACTGTAAAGTGTAGTGACAATTCCACCATTTATTAATTTAGATAAATAAATTTATTTATTTAACGTAGATAAAAAAGCATCAGGTGAACACAACGTAAACTGACAATGTAAACCAATGTCTGCTGAACTCTGTTAACAACTAAAAAAAAATTCCACAACCTCCTGAACATGTTGAAAATCCATACATTATACGTCAAATTATAATATTTAGAAATTGCTCACATAAATGCCATAATTACCATATTAATAGCTCTCAATATTAAATTCCCTCTTCTTTCTTGGAAGTCAGTGTATAATATTACATATGGCAGCAAGTTTATACTTATTAATGTCTGCTGGTCTCATAACTTATATTTTAGTTTTGTATACTCACAAGCACTCTCATTGGATTTGACCTTTTTACGAGACTGTTTACGCTCTTCATCACGGATCTTCCGTTCTGCGCCCTGTATATCAACACATTTTAAAATGTTCAGTATCAGTAATCTGACCACAATATTCGGTTAGGTGTCAACCTAGCTCAGTTGGTAGCACTCTTGCTTCTGAGTTAGAAGGTTGTTGGGTCAAGCCCCACTTTGGGACTTTGAGCTGAGTCTAAGCTGACACTCCAATGCAGTGAAGGGCAAAGCGTTGTATTGTCAAAGTTGCCGTCCTTTGAACTGTAATAAATCACTGTGTGAATCAGAGAGGAGAAGCAGCTATTTCATTACTGATGTAGGAATTCTGTAATTAATGTGTTAAATAATATCTCAAATTATATTTGCGATGTTTATATAAAATGATCAATCTCATATGATCAATCTCAGATGAGAGGAGCTGGTTATGACGAGCTTCAAAGAAGATCCTTGCTCAAGGAGGAGAAACAAAAGGCTGTTTACAAACAACAAACTGTTTTCATTCCTTATCAGTCATTTTCTCATGGAAAAATGGTCTGCAGCTGGAGAGAGCTGTGTTGCATTTGTTTTTACAAGGGAACCATCTTGCAAAAGACGATAGGAAAGGTCAACAGTAATCAGCAGGTCACCTAAACAACAGCAGATAGATTTGAAAGAGAAAAGGAAGATTATGATTTAAACAACACTAAACGTACCATAATACCTGGATACTTTTGGGTGAGATTGAACTGGAAACCGTACAACAATACTTGGATACCTTTTGAGGACTTAAATTTGGATTCAAATGGGACATTAAATTGGACATTGCTCCTCTATCTCTCCTGGGGCATTTGGTTTGGTCAACTTAAATCATTGTGAACTATAGTATACATGGATACGTAAGCATAATTGGATGGATTCTTTTAATTACTTATAACCATTATTAATCTGAATTAATAAACCATGATTAATTGTACAACATTTGTGTCAGTCCTTACTTCACCGCAGGGTCTTGAAAATAAATTAACCCTTACATTGAGGTGAGTGTGAAAGCTTTACACTAGTGCTGATTAGATAAGGAACAAATTTCCGGCAATCTGTGAAACATTCCTTATCCTAATTATCACAAGGTAAAGGAGCACCTACTGTTTACTCCATTATTAGACAATGTGTCATATAAATGCTAAACAAGATAAGGAGTGTTTCGATTTACTACTCATTATTATTGGCACTCACGAGTTACCAGATCAGCACATCTCATGCCTCTGTATCATTATCACAAGAGTTCTCAATTTACTTGTTGATGTCACCTTGGATCTAGGTTATCAGATTGTCGCAGCGCCAAGTTCTGGAATGAATGTTGATGATGGAAGATAAGTCTGCTCAAGTGAAGCTACGTTGACAGGTCCACCTGCGGGAAATATTGTTGCCCAACTTGTTAGGTGAACTAAACCATATTATTTTCATTTTTCAGAGTTGCGATTGATAACTCACAGAGTTAGCACAGAAGGCAAGCTGTATGGTTTTGGCTGATTAGACTCCAGCAGTACTCCAACCCTCTCTTTAGGGTCCCCAAGCCTTGGTTCTTGTTAACCTATGCCCAATACTCTGTTGAATTAGGTAAATAAGGTGTGTTGTGCCAGGGAGAGAATGCTCATTCCATTTTGAGACCTGAGGAATAGGTGGCCATATATAGGTGGAACTTTCAGTCTGGTTTGATTTGCTTTCTGAATGTGTCAGACACTTCGCTGACCAAACAAAAATGATCACAGAATCATCGAATAACACCTACCTTGTCACAGAAGACCTTGATTTGGCATGTGGCCCTGTGGATGGGTTTGTTGCTGCGTGTATTGTAGCTGTAGGTGTCGATCTGGATGTTCAGAGGCAAGCCTTTGACTCCTTTCTGAGATGAGAAGTCAGTGCTGAGGCAGTTGACAGAGATGAAGATCTGGAACAGAAAATGGTCAGAATACTTATGTTGAAAAGAGTCTGAGATAAGTACTCTGCTGTCAGATTTTCTTTTAAAAAGCTACAGTAATGTCTGGCACATAGTTTTCTCACACTCCTGATCTCAGTCAAGTCACCGGGACAATTAAAAGGAGATGGAAGAAAAGAACGACAGTAAGAAATTACCCATATTATCAGCCACTTCGAGAGATACAACAGAGGTCTTTCGCTGCCCTGAGGAATAGCAGCAGCTTTAAAGAGACAGTGGGCTGAATGGCCTCCTTTTGTACTGAATTTCTATGTGACGTGACATGTCAACATGGGACGGCAAAAAGTTTGCAGGATTCCATTCAGAGCTAAGAGAATGGGGAGGTTTCTTTTTTTAAAAAACACAAGACATTTCAGCATGACATTGATAATACTGACTCCTCAAATGTTAACAAGTCTGTTTGGAAAACAAATCAGAATGAGCTCATACTTTACTTGACAACACGCCCTAACAACAGGTTTGAGATTTCTCCATTCAGTGAAAGACTGAGGGGACCATAGGGGACCTCACAGGGATAGGTTTTGAGACGGGACTTGAAGACGGAAAGAGAGAGGGTGAAATGGAGGTGTAGAGGTTTAGAGCTCCAGAGGGTAGGGACATAGAATCTGATCGCTAGACCCCTGATGGTGGTGCAAGAGATACGTGTAGCAAACACGGGTTAACCAAGTAGAGGAGGCGAACAGAGGAATGAAGTAGGAAGAGATCAGAGAGTGTTAGGGGTGGAAGGGATTTGTAGGTGAGAGTGAGGACTTTGAAGTTGATCCGTGGGTGACAGTGGAGCCTGCCTTAGGTCCCTCGGGATAATGGGAATGTATTTTTGAATGGGTGGAGATGTGGTCAGTGGAATTTAAGTTTTAGATATAAAGAGAAGGCACTCCACAAAGAAATTTAAAAATAAATGTAATGTAGTGTGTGTAAAAAAAGGTGCTGGAAACTGTGAAAGAGAAACATGTTCAAACATGTCTCTTACAGAACAGAAGCTTCCTGCCAACAGGAGTCTTGTGGTTTGAGATGGGGTGAAAGAGAGGGGGTGAAATGGGGGTGTCGACTTCAACATCCTCACACTCACGTTCAAATCCCTTCACTCGCTGGCACCTCGCTCCCTCTGTGATCTCCTTATTACCTAATCCACCATCCGGCGACTCTGCTCGACTGGCACCGGTCTCCTGCTTGTTCCTCACGCCCTCTGCTCCACCATCGGAGGTCACGCATTTAGCCACTATGCCCCGAAACTCTGGAACACTCTCCCTCAATCCCTCCATTTTGCCTCCTCTCCCCTTTTTCAAGTCCCAGCTGAAAAACTTCCTTTTCGACCGTGTTTATGGTCACCCTCTCCCCCCCACCCCATGCCCCTGAGACGCTACTTTGCATGGAGGGCGCTATATAAGTGCAAGTTGTCGTTGTTGTAGTACACTTCTAACATTATAAAATTGGTCATTCGCTTCACAGCTGTTTATGGGACATTGCTGTTCACAAATTCAATTCCAGGCATGGCGAAACCTTGGGCAATCTTGAGCACACGCCTAATAATAATAATAATAACTAATAATAATCCCTCCAAAACAAAACAATAATAAATTGGTCATTTTCAATCCACGACTGTTTGTGGGACACTGCTGTGCACAATTGGCTGCCGCGTTTTGCCCACAAATATACGGTCAATTCACTTTACAGTATATTCTGTAGAGCGCTTTGAGATGTCTAGAAGACTTGAAAAGCGCTATATCAAATGCAAGGATTATTATTATTATTAAAATCTCCAATCTTTTCACTATTTGTTTGCAATGGGGTTTCCTAGTAAAGAAAAGATTGTCTTTAGCAATAATTGATGATGAATCCCACTCCTGTCTCCTATTCTATTTCATTCTTCCCAAAGCCTGGGAGCATTGGATCTCCTAGCTCTGCCATCTCTTCTGCAAGCTACATGGTCCTAAAACCCCCAAATCAGTGTTACCTCACCATTTTTTATAATCATAATAATAATACTTATATTGATATATGTCTGATTATGTTGACAATACCTCTCAAATGCTTCACAGGATTTACTGTGAAGTGTAGTGACTGTATTTGTTGGTGAACTGTGGCAGTAAATTTGTATACAGCAATGCTCCACAAGCAGCCATGACGTGAATGACCAATTTTATTTGGGAGATTGTAGGCCAGGACACTGAGAGAAACTCCCTTCTCTTTTCGAAGAGTGTCATGGGACCAATTAAATAATTTGAGCAGCACAACATGAATAGTGTGCAGGAAATGACATCAGCGGCAACCTCACACCTCGGAAGTTGGCCATTTCTTCATGCCTTGTTTATAACCTGGCCACTGAAACATTGGACCCAGACAAGCGTGTTATAAAGGGGTGTCCTGAACCTGTCACCTCCTACGTTTGGTGCCTCACAACCTCATACTTCATCACAGTATATGCTGCTCAGCAAACACATTCTCTCAAGATTCCCAGCTAAAGCATGAAGGCACACGATAATTTACTGGGGTGATAAGGTTATATAAAATAAACACAGTACATACATGTTAAGATCACCATATTATCAGTTGCGATCTGTACAATGCAGTGACACGGGCAGGCCGGCTGGGGGAGCTTATGAGCTACGAGACCTGTATGACTAGCATTGGAGTCCTGTAGCTCAGTGGTTAGAGCACTCGACTCTCAAGCGAGAGACCTGGGTTCGTTTCCCGCAGGGCGAAACCTTGGGTAAGTTTCCTTACTCCACACGCCTGATAATAATCCCTCAAGAAAAAAATAAATAATTGGTCACTTCAATCCACGACTGTTTGTAGAACACTGCTGTGTGCAATTGGCTGCCGCGTTTCGCCCACAAATATACAGACAATTCACTTTACAGTATATTCTGTGAAGCGCTTTGAGACGTCCAGAAGACGTGAAAAGCGCTATATCAAATGCAAGGATTATTATTATTATCGGGGAATCACTCTCATATAAGGTAACCAGTTTGGTGCAAAAAGGGGGGAAAAAAGTTGAAAAACCTGCTAGTTCATTGGTTAAAGATAAACAGCAGAGATTTAGCCTATGAACGTTGGCAAAGTAAAACATGGCGTATTGTTTAAAAATAATTGTTGACCGTGGAACACACTGCTTGTTCAGCAAGGAGCACACTGCCTTTTCGTGCTGAGCATATATCTACCAAGACCACTGAGAAGCAGCAGATTTCACTCAACAGATGTGTGGAGTGACTGACTTTTTTTAAAATGTTTTACTGGGTCTCACATGAACAGCACAATTTGGTTTAGATTTTCTATACCTAGAGTCCTGTAGCGTAGTTGTTAGCACGCTCGCCTCGCAAGCAAGAGGACCTGGGTTTGATTCCCAGGCGAGGCAAAACTTTAGGTATATTTCCTTACTCTACACACCTGTTTACCCAGCAGTAGCAGGAACCTGGTTGTTAGTCGATTGGAGGATCACTTTCTGTGGGCAACAGTTCCTCCAAAAAACAATAATAATTTGTTTACTCAATCCACGACTGTTCATGGACATTGCTGTGCGCAATTGGCTGTCGCATTTCGCCCACAAAATACACAGTCAATCCACTTTACAATATATTCTCTGAAGCCCTTTGAAACGTCTCAACAAGTTAATATTATTATACTGCTAGGCCGATTTAGATATAAAATTGTGTGCAAATGAGATAAATGGAAATGTGACAAGGTGTGATTTCTTCTCCAAGCACTGGGAGACAAGAAATGAATATCCTGATATGACTGAATTTAGAAGAGACTAAGGGTTAAGGACATTCATGCTTCTTTTTTCCCTCAAGTTGAATAACATTCTCTTTGGCGACAAGTGTGAGATCGGCACTTTGCAATGGATAAAAATACAATATCTAGGCTCTCCTGCATGACATGTTAGGCAGCACATTTTACAAATTAAAAAATAATAATCTTTGCATTTGCTATAGTGCCTTATCATGTCTTTGCAGCATCTCAAAGTGCTTTGCAGGATTTTAATTTGAAATGCAGAGACTGTCTATTTGTAGGTAAACGTGGCAGCCAATTTATGCACAACAATATATCGCAGATAGCCGTGAGGTGAATGATCCATTTTTATCTTAGGAATTGTTGGCCAGGAATTTACATACAACATTGACACCTCCCTCCACAAGCTGCAGGTCATTCAAAACTCTGCAGCTCGTGTACTGTCCCGCACCAGGCTTCACGACCACATCACTCCCACCCTCGCTCGCCTCCACTGGCTCCCCATCCCCCAGAGGATCGAATTCAAGATCCTTATCCTCACCTACAAGGCCATTCACGGCCTTGCTCTCTCCTACCTCTCCGACCTACTATCCCCCTACCTACCTGCCGGTACCCTCCGTTTCTCTGGCTCCGATCTGCTCCACATCCCCCGCCCCAACCGCCCTACCATCGGTGGCCGGGCCTTCAGCCTCTCAGCCCCCAGGCTCTGGAACTCTATCCCCCAGTGCCTTCGCCGCCTCCTCCCTTTCCTCCTTCAAGGCCGGTCTCAAGACCTTTCTCTTTGACTGTGCCTTCAGCTCCCCTCTCGACACTCTACCCCCTCCTCGTGCCCTCCTTTCCCTCCCCTCACCCTGACCATTTCCCCCCTGCTCGGGCCCTGACCCAACTGTACAGCGCCTTGGGACATCCTCCTAACGTGAAAGGCGCTCTATACATGCAATCTTATTGTGTTGTTGCTGCTTAGTCATGTGTGACATCTTAACCTATGTTTTGATTTGGTCCGACTGACATATTCCAGAAAATATTTGCTAACATTGAGCTATTCACTTGTAATTAGGGCCTGGTGACAGTCACGTCAAAAGGCTCCTCTTATTGTGAGTGATAAGAGTTAGTGTGGGAGCCAAAATGAAGACAAGATCATCTCCCAGAGGAGGTGGGAGATTAGCTCCAAAGATTGCAAAGCATAATCTCTTGGAGATAACAAAGGGTTAAATTATGATGGA